ATGGTTGTTGACTAGTCATGGTGTCATGTGTGGTTGTTGTGGGGGGTAGAATAAGGGACACCCTGTCCATTGCAGGTAGTGATACAGGTGCACCCACTAGCCATGGTAATTTTATCAAATAGTGATGGCTGTGGTCAGATAAGGAAACTATCTGGACGATAAAGAATTCTCTGTACATTTGTTGGAGGGGTTCGCCAGGTGTCAAGATGTGCTTGATTTGTGAAATGCTCATGTGTAAGCGTGTGAGTGCACGCTGTTCTGCGATGTTTCGTATCTGTACTCTGTTCACGGCCCACACCACGTGAGCTCAGGTGACAGGCGAGGTATTGCGTAGTATGAGCCTCATGGTGCATATTACCTATTGGGCCGACTGTGTGTACTTGGCGTGGTGCAGTTGGATGGCTATCGCTTGCGCTTAGTGCGTGGGACTATAAAGAGCACTTCCTGTTGGGCAGCCGTGTATAGTCCGCGCCGCTCTCACACAGTCAAATACACTTAGGGTTTTGGGTTTTTGGGTTTTTCTTATACCTGTGCCATTGGTTGTGCTCCCTCGACATGCTTGCGCATTTCTAGGGTTGCCGACAATCCCTTAAACCCTATACCCTAAATCCTCAAACCCTAAAAACTAACGGCTATTAGTTTACTTGTTCTCACACATCTCTGCTCTCGTCTGAATGCCTTTGGATAGGGAGATCGCTGTGCTCTCCGATGTCTTGTGTGACGAAATACGCACGTGGAATGGTGGGACGGATGTGGGTCTGGATAGGAATGGCGTAATTTCATACGACATGTACAGGTAAGCACTAGTCCAATACACAGTCTGTGATAGTCGTAAATAGATAAGGGGCAATGGTGGTCAATGCGCAGTCTGTTGTAGTTATCAAGGAATAATAAGCAATTAGTTATCAATGGATAATAAGCAATTAGTTATCAATGGATAGTAAGCAATTAGTTATTAACGAATAATAAGCAATTAGTTATCAATGGAGAATAAGGAATAAATTATCAATGTATAATAAGCAATTAGTCATCAGTGTATAATAGACAATTAGCTATCAATAGATAATAAGCAATTAGTTATCAATGGATTTTAAGCAATTAGTTATCAACGGATAATAAGCAATTAGCTATCAATGGATTTTAAGCAATTAGTTATCAATGGATAATAAGCAATTAGTTATCAATGGATAATAAGCAATGGTAAACCATGCGTAATCTACGATCGGAGATGCTTGTCTGAATTGTTATAGGTTTCGTTTTATTGCGGACGAGATAAGACACTAATCACACAAACACGCTTTTTCTTTTTCTTTTTCTTTTCAGAAATCAACTGTACCAATGTGCCACTGTGTCAGCGGCATGGTCACCAGCCCTGTACATGCGCTCACACAGCATCGCAAAAGACACCGAAGAGCCACAGCCACAGCCACAGCCACAGCCACAGCCGCAACCAAGTGAGTACACACAGGCGAACAACAAACAGCCACAGCCACAGCAGGACACACAGACAGGTGGTGAGTTGTGTGGCACTTGCCCTGTGATGGTCTGGTTGGCTGTGATGGTGTAATTTGTTTCTTGGTATAGTTTTTAAGGGCGTGGTGCAGGTGTGTTGTGGTTGGCTGTGATGGTGTGATTTGTTTCTTGGTATAGTTTTTAAGGGCGTGGTGCAGGTGTGTCGTGGTTGGCTGTGATGGTGTAATTTTTTTCTTGGTATATTTTTTAAGGGCGTGGTGCAGGTGTGTTTGGGTGCGCAAGTGTGTAATTGTGCAGTCTGACGGTCTTGCTGCCAACTGATAGGCAGATGGGACTGACCAGAGCTTGCGTGACACTTCCGTGTGGCTGGTTATACCTTTACTCTCCACATGGCGGCGTATACACATTCAAGCTTGCACCAGCTGCAACGGTGGTTAAATGATAGCCCTGCAATTGCCTAGTGTCCGTGCGAGGTTTTAGGGTTTTAGAGTTTTATGGGTTTAGGGTTCTACTGCCACTGACAGTCCGAATTTTCTCCCTCCAATGCCCCCCCCCACAGGCGCTGGTGTGAGGTCGGGTATAAATGTTCCTGCTTATCAAGGCCTGAGCTTCATTGCCCTGGCCACGTTGGCAGGCGAAGTGCATGTGTGGGCGTGGCTGTCCGGAAAGGACCAGTGGGTGTATGAGGCTCGCATCGACATAGGCTGGCAACGGCCCAAGCACCTGCGCATGGACGACTATGCACAGCTGTACAATGTGGCGCATGCCAAGTCCATGGCCTTCAGCCTGGACGAGCGCAAGAAAGGGTAGGCACACAGGTCCCTGGCCCAATTCATGGCCAATTCATGCGACTGTCTGGCGTAATTCATGCGACTATCTGGCGTTGGGTGTGAGGCATTTGGATGTGATTTGACAGTGTGATGTGGTTGTCCGTTCGCTGTACGTTCGTTTGCTCACTAGAACACTCGTTGAGTAGGCGGCAGGGGTGCGACAAGTAGGGGAGTTGGCTGAGGTGCTTCGCTTGTGTCTTGGCGTCATCTGTAAGGATTAGAAACAGTATCATAGTTGTGTCGATGTATTTTTTATGAGCTCGGCATGTTTGTCGTTGGTTGTAGGAATGTATGTTGCCGTCCTTGTACTTACCTTTTGCAAATATCTGTGTTTGGCATGCAGCGCCGTAGGACGACCCCGAAAGCCCTTTTGTTGTGTCGTTTGTAGTAACAGCATGCCTTTCCTTTGTCCTCAACCTGTTTCTCCTTTCTTAGAGTAACCATGTGTATGGACATGTTCACTTTGCTCGTATGTATGAGTCATGCTCCTTTTGCTGTCGTCTGCAGAGACCCAGAGGCGCGTTGGATAATGCGACTGGCGTGCGGAATGTCAGACAACTCTGTGGTTGAGTGTGTGTTCATTCTGAGAGATCACGCCGGTGGCCCCCGCGCACCACGCACCGTAGGTCCAAATCGGTGAGTACAAGATATATAAACATGTTTGTGCTTGTATGTGTATGTATTAAAATTATATATATCAACATGTATATGTTGATTTATATGTATGTATATAAAGACCTATGTATCTCTGTATGAGTGTATGTATATTTATACTTATTTATCTTTGTATGTATGCATGCATGTATAGACATACATATCTTTATATTGGTAAATACATGTATTAATATATACTCATATTACTCGTTGGGATATTGCCCTGGTCTAGCTTGCTAGCTATCGCCTCCATGGACTTCGTATTGTAGTTTGTAATGATGTCTTGTCACTCCTACTGGGGTTGCTATGGGCGATTATTTCTACGTATAGTCAGGTTTAGGGAATCCTGTACATACCTGCACTTGCATTATGTTTGTCATAGAACGGTGTTCACCATTTAGACCACTAGCAGTTGAGTGTGGTACGTACAGAAATACTCATGCAAGAGGTCCTACTGCTTCCACACGTGCTAGCTTCGAACCAAATGGTTGTACAGTGCACGTCGGTATGTTGTCGCATTGTCTCGTAGTACATTGCTACTATGGATGTATTGTAAGTCCTGATATAGCAGCGCTGGCCAGAGCGTGTTGGTTCGCTTATTCAACATCGGTTACTGTCTAATGTAACCATGACGACGGCGAGTATGTATTTCGCAAACGCCAAGTTTAGCCATCGGTGGCCGATTTGTATCGCATAACCGATCGTCATGCAGCAAACGCTGGGAACTGCACATAGAACCATAGACACGTGCCTTCCCGCCCCTTTCGCGGACACTCAACTGTCCTTTTTCTATCACAACACATTCCCTCTATGTTGTCTGTGTATGTGTGCTATAGGCTTGTGGTCTCACCCCCCCACACACACTTTCTTTCTCACTCTCTCTCTCTCTCACTTTCTTTCTCACTCTCTCTCTCTCACACACACACTCTCTCTCTCTCACACTCTCTCACACACACACACTCTCACACACAATCACTCTCTCTCCCTTGTTTCTCTTTGGTTTTGCAATGCAGCTATGCCATATCTCCGTCGTCTCGGTTCGTGTCCAGCGTGCGCGTGTGCATTGCGCTGCCGCGGCAGACGGAGGAGGTCGTAAGCGTAGGCTACAGCTGGACAGCACTAGGACGAGCCTATCAACAGGAACGCTACCACGGCACCTACCACGCAACAGCCCCCAACTCAAACCCTGCACACACGCGCAATCTGCGCTCAGTCGTAGACACAGACAAAGGGGCAGCGGTGCTGGCAGTGGCGCTGACCCATCGGATAGTCGTCGTTGAACCTCGCAGGTGTGTGCGGCTGTCAACTGCATTGGATGGGTTGATAGCGCGTTACAGGGATATAGTTGTAGTGAGGGGTATATTTATGACTTATGTAATTGTGTATTTAGTTAGTAGTGTGTGTATGTCCTTTGTGGTTGTGGTCGTGCCTGTATTGAAGTGACTGCCTATCACGTGATGAATGTGCGTATGTGGCGCGTGTCTCCTGAATGGCTGGGAGTATATCGCTGTGCTTAGTTCCATTTTTAGACTGCTGTCTGTTGTTCGTTTTGCCATTCCTTTTGACTCAATCCAACTACAAAGGAACAATCTCCCTTCACCCAACCCAACTACAACGAACAATCACACACGGATAAGAACAGTTCGTGGCGCCTTTACGGCTCATGCGTCTCCTTCTCCCCTGTGGTCTACTTAATAACATGCCATTTGACTGCTGATGTCGCACTTCTATTCTGGATGGATTGTTCTTACAAAAAAGTTATCATTCGATATTAGGACCGGCTTGTATTGATCATCCCTTGGTATTGTGCAGGGAGGGAGAGGATGACTCCACAATTAGTGACGATAGCCTTAAGCTGCCGCTGTCGGGGGGCTGCCCCATAGGAGATCGGCCTGGCAGTCGAGTGCGAGGCCGGAGGTGTAGTGTGTCGCCATTTGTCGTATGTTCTTATTCAGGCGTGATTGTTCTTTGTAGTTGGATTGAGTGTGGTGTGATTGTTTGTTATAGTTGGATTGAGTGGGGGGTGTGCTTGTCTGTGTGTGATAGTTCTATGAAACCGTGTAGAATGGTGTTCGTGTGCGTCTGTCGCTTATAGTTGTTGTTGATGTTCCGTGTCACTGTACAGTGCTTCTGTTCATGCCGTGTTTGCTCTGTGGGTTTTACTGTTTGATTCCACACGCGTTGATAGGGCCCGCCATAGGCACTGCATCGCCCTGTATAGCACGTAACTTACTGTATTGACTGCATTTATATGAAGCATACTTGGGTTATCACTACTCTCTACAAGGATGTAGCATGTGACCTCTGTACGGTGCGGTGCAGTGTCTTGCACCTGAGTGCATAAATTCGGGACCCTAATTGCCCACTAATTCAACCATTCTCCACTCCTATATGCCACACACCCATCACAGACCACCAGCATCAGCAGCTGTGCATGGATGCGTGACCATGAGCTAGCGGTGACGTTGATGGATGGCACAGTGCTCTACTCTGCCTACCGTCCAGCCCCATCACCACTCAAATGGGACAGGGCCTGGCACGTCGACCCCACGCCACCGCACTTGCAGAAGGGTAAGGGCGATGCCGATCTGCTGGGGGGGGTGGGGGGGGGTCTGGTTAGGGGGTGTGGACACATCCGTCAATGGGATCTTCACGTGCACGGCGTATGTGCCGTACTCCACGGGCACGCATGCGCATGAGAGCACCATGGTAATCAATGCCAGAGACGACGACGACTATGTGTTCGATGTGGCCGCTCGGCTGCTGGGTTACAGCCAACGGCAGTCGCACAAGCAGGCAGGCACAAGCACAGGCACAGAACACAGCACGACCCATACCCAGCCCAGCCACACAGCCACCACAGTAGACTTCAGACCACACACCAAGAAGCGCATCACCCGAGAGCACAACCCCATGCTGTCGCCGCAGCCCTTCCGCCAGGCCTATTGGGATGTGATGGAGTACGCCCGGTCCAAAGGCGCCATGGCCGACTCAGACGACATGGGCGAAACAAACATCCTGAGTGACGGCGGTATCCGCACGCGACTGTTTCTGTATGCTCTGGATATGGTCGACAACGCCGACGCACAGGTGAGTAGCGTGCGAGGGCTCTGGTGATGCCAATGGGTTGGTGCGCGAGTGTGCACGCTGAGTGGTTTGAGTGAGTGCGAGTGACGTTGTAAAGTCTGTTTGTATGAATATCACTCACGTGCGTCTGCAGACGCGTGCGATACCCTGTGGCTGTTGCTATGTTGTGGCTCATGACCCTGTGGCTGCTGCTGTGTTTTGGCTCATGTGTTGTTGCTGCATTGTTGCTCATGTGTTGTGCTGCAGGGTCTGCAATGCAAGATGTAGCGGTGTTGTTTAACCTGCGCATTGTACACCACACACACGACGTTTCCATTGGTCTGCTGTCTCTGCTGCCCTCATCCCATGTAGACTCATTGGCCTGTTGTTTGTAGTCCCATGTGATGTCTGCTATTCCTTCCCTAGAGGGAATTGCAATGGGTGCGTGTTAGCTTCCTTGTTGTTGTGGATGCCTCTGGCATGGTGCCTGTGATCCGTCCCTTGCTGGTGGTTGTAGTCTCCGTTGTCTCTCTTTCTTCATCCGCGTGTGCTCGTTTTGTCGTTCCTCTGCATCGGCGCGTTCTCACCTCTTCACCGTTGGTAAAACCCTAAAACCCTAAACTTCTGCATCTCCTACAGAGATTTGCGCTTCGGCTGCTGCGAGACTGTGGCGAGTGGGATGATCATGCGCACCTCATCGCGCGCATAGAGAATAACATTGACGTGCTGGTGTACAGCAGACAGATTGACGCATGGCGCATCATGCGGCTGCCACGCGCACAGCAGAGCCAGCCACTGCCCCCCACAAACACAACCCCTACGGACAGCATAAACACTACGACTACAACTACTACTACTACTGATGCAGCTGCTGCTGCTGCTGCTAATAACAAGGAGAAGAACGGCACTGACACCACTAGACACAGGAAGACGAGGGGAAGGAAGCCGAAGAACAAGAGGAAACATTTCGCCTCTACTACCACGCACAGCGAGGAGAGGAACGGCCCTACCACCACCACAAACAACGCGCATCAGGAGGCCGCCACCCAACCAGGGGGTCCTGGAGACACACCTGTCGTACCAGAGACGCCCTGGGGTGCAGTGGACCAACGTGAGGTGACGTCCATGCTGCGCGTGGCCGATCGGTGCGACCGCGCGCGTGCGGCGCTGTTGACTATGGCCGCGACAGTGGGCCATCACCTCAACATCAGCACACGCCCAGAGAACTGCACAGAGACTGAAGTGGTCACAGACGTGTTGCAGCAGCTGCAAGTCAACCACAGCACTGCCGCTGCGGCTGATGCCGGCGTGTGCCCCATCTGCGCACTGCCGTTGCCGGCCAGTCACAGCTCACCCATAACGCACGCCGTGGACAGGTAGGTGGTTGTAGAGTTTTTTAAGGGTACAAGACACATAGGTATTGAACACGTGTAACACGCGCGGCATAAACATAGTCACTTGAGTGGGCCATGCAGCATGCGGCAGGTGCTGCAGTAGATGACAGCACAGGTAGTGTATTCACTACACACACTGGCTGCAGGCAGAGCCCACAGCACAGCTATGTGGCACTCACGACAGCGCAGTATTACAACATCGGGTTATAGTCAGTAGCGCCCGAGGGGAAATGGTTTGTATTGGTTGTGATCGTACTCGTCTGTCAACAGTAGGCGATTGGGTGAAGCGCAAGTGTACAAGACCGAAGATTGGTCTTTGACCTTCTTACGGCTTACGCTCAGAGAGTATAGCCGACAATGGTTCGCGCCTCCTCATAGTGCATATCTGCGTTCTAATGTTAGTGAGCCTCTGAAATTATATGTAAGGTCTGTAGTCTTCCTGGTGCAAGACCTTGTGTAGTAAGCACTGAAATTGGACCCATATTCAACCAATGTGCTCTGACATACTCGTGTACATTTGTAGTGTTGGGCCTGGAAGGAGTCGAGCGTGCTGTGTTGGTTTGCGTTTGCCTCCTGTTCGTGTGTTTGTTGCTTTTATTTGCATTTCGTCATTTGTGTGGCTACTGAGTGTTTGTGTGTGGCTGCTGAGTGTTTGTGTGTGGCTGCTGAGTGTTTTTGTGTTGGTTTGCGTTGCCCCTTGTTCGTGTTTGTTGCTTTTATTTGCATTTCATCACTTGTGTGGCTACTGAGTGTTTGTGTGTTGGTGCGCGTGCTTTGAGGAATACGTCACGAGCGAACGTATATATAGCGCTGCTGTGGTGGGCGCAACATCACTGCGAAACCGAGTTCCCTGTTTGATCCATACTCATTTTTATTCTCATCTTATTTGCGATGATTCGTTCCAATCTTTTGCGTATGGCTGCATCGCCCGTGTATGTTGTGACAGACAGCGCAAAAGCGGTGTGAGAACCGATGCTGAAGACACTGATGAAAACCACGAACATGACGATGATGCGCTTTCGGATAACGACCATTTGATGGAGGACAGTGCACCCGGAACTGAGTCATTAGAACCGGTCCACAGAAACAGGCGCAAACAGAAAGCCACCCACACACCGCACAATGAAACTGCAGCGACAACCGATGCGAATACGGAGGGTCAATCAGTGGGTGTAGGCGATGGACACTCTACTTCAGAAGCAACCAAGGGATCCAGTGCACAACCATCGCCAGCCAAGCAGAAGACTGGGCCGGCTCTGTGCAAACACCCGTGGCCGTGGTGTATGGTCACGCAACTGTATATCACGTAGGTTTGAATGTACTTGGTGTTTGTAGGAATAGAGTGTGTGAGTAGGTTGACTGTACTTCGTGTTTGTACATAGGAAGGGAGTGTGTAAGTAGATTGGCTGTACATATTCATATAAGAACGGGGTGTGGAAGACTCTCGTGGTTCTGATGTTCGCGCGTAGCTGAGTAGATTGGGGTGTGGTATGTATCAACTGTCTAGTACATCTGTGATACGTGTGTATAGCATTAACATATGTCATACGTGTATGACATTATTGCGATGGGTTTTAAATTAGTATGCTGTGTCTCTAGATGCTCACGAACGCTCCTGAAGCCGTACTTCAGTTTGCTCAGACAAACACCGGCGCATAACTTGGTGTTTGTACATAGGAAGGGAGTGTGTAAGTAGATTGACTGTACATATTCATATAGGAACGGGGTGTGGAAGACTCTCGTGATTCTGATGTTCGCGCGTAGCTGAATAGGTGTGGGTGTGGTATGTATCAACTGCCTAGTACATCTGTGATACGTGTGTATAGCATTAACATATGTCACACGTGTATGACATTATTGCGATGGGTTTCAGATTAGTATGCTGTGTCTCTAGATGCTCACGAACGCTCCTGAAGCCGTACTTCAGTTTGCTCAGACAAACACCGGCGCATAGTTGATTACTGACTCGTACCCATAACTCCTAGATAACTCAAACCAATAACTTATACCTATGACACATATCAATGACGAACCAATGACTCATATCAATGACTTATACCTATGACACATATCAATGACATATATATGACTCATGTCATTGACTTATGCCTATGACACATATCAATGACATATATATGACTCATGTCAATGACTTATGCCTATGACACATATCAATGACATATATATGACTCATGTCAATGACTTATGCCTATGACACATATCAATGGCTTATACCTATGACACATATTAATGACAAACCAATGACGCATATCAATAAGCCATACCATATTCTCACACATCGTAAACTCATAGTCCATTTCCAAATTCTGCGCCACACAGAGGAACGAATGCGCGTCGCTGCCTGACGTGTAATCGCACTGCTCTGAGTCTGCCACTGCCAAGCACCGCAGCACAGCCCTCGGTCAACGGTCTAAGCAACACACAACAGCACACACAACAGCACACACAACAGCACACAGCAAGCCGTGTCGGTAGTGATATAGCGGACGCAACTGCCGCTGCGCCTGCGGGGTGGATGGAATACATCCTGGGAGTGACCAACCACTGTCTGTTCTGTGACGAGCCCCTCGTTTCACTGTGCGACTAGGGCAGTGCCAACTTAGCGACAGTATACGATATTTTGAGCGTTTGTATTCTGCCGAGAAAGTACATATGTATCGAAGTATGTGTAGCATATGTGGTGTGACGCACAACAGTGGGCCCACTCAGAGAATGATCAGAAAATCGTCCTATACGGAATGTCCCGGCATGATGCTATATGCTATTATGTAAGTGCGAATATATATATATATATATATATTAAAGGTCGCTTGCTCAAGAAATTCAGCAGCAATCAGTAGATATTGCTATCCGATGCCACGTCAGTCGAGAACTGGCAACGAATCGCGGACCAACACTATACCTAGCCTCAGAAGTACCTTCCTCCTGAGGAACCATAGTTTAGTATGAGACCAGAGAGAATTGTGTGCCAACATCCTTAGAGATGCTTTATGCCTTCTGTACGCCAGTGATGGTATGCGATGGCGTATTCTCGATAGCCAAATGTATGACTGTTCCCGCACACACCGGTAGCAATGCTGACTCACTCGATCCACTGCAGTCAAAGTATATTAACACTTCAGAGAAGTCGCATAGTAGTCGCACCCCATCACCTCAGAACCAGCAGGGCGCATCTCTGCACTGAACCGCCCTCGATTGCGACTCACCTGCCCTGGCTATTCGATAAGTTAATAATGTGACACTCACAGATCGGGACGCCCAACTGAACTTAACTCAACTCAAATCAACCGAGTGTATAGAGTATGTACATTGCTGAGCTTTGATTAATATTCACTCGAGACTTTGGCTCCGGCTTGAGTGTGATATCACGCAGGGGTCGCAGTGCGGTTCCTCGTGATGTTTGTTGAGTGCTCCTGACCCAAGCTCGCCATGAAATCCTGATCTTGAGCAGGTTTCATACTTGCCTTCTTGGGCGGTTTCATACTGTAACATAAAGTTTGTTCAGATATTTACTTCAGCACGATTCTTGAAGTAGAAATCGAAAGATGCCTTGTGTATGTAAGAAAGACAATGGCGGATACTTTTTCACATGTGTCTATGTGAGTGCTAGTCCGGAGCGTAAAATAGAGGCAATATCTACCAAACAAGCAGCGAAGTCATGTACGTTTACAGGTGAATAAACTATGCAAATAGATCGGTGGACAAACATAACAGCATCTAAACCCATTTCGACAGGAAGCTGATAGCCAAAGTTCGAAGCACACGAGTGAATGTAACAAGTATACATCAGTTCTGATGCATCTCCGAATATTTATTGTTAATATTTTCTGTCTGACTGCTCAAAACACTTCGACGACAGAATCGGCACAGATGGTTTGACGGTGACGCTTCAAACTTTAAAGCCCCTTAACGTTCTTAAGCGTAACAACTAGCGCTTCTCGAAACATCTCTTGAATCGGTGCTTTCAGTGTAATATATCAAGCTCAGCTACTGAAGGAAGCAAGTTCTAAGGTTTTACAAAAGGAGTTAACATTACATATGCTGTGTATTAATATGAGTTCCATGGCCTGATCTACCACATAGTCAACGCAGAACTTTGGTTGCAATCTGGCAATGTTTGTGTCCCAACTCACGACTCACAAGTCGCAACTCGCAACCGATATGCTGCCGCCCACAAATGCGCCATACCAGTGCATAACATTCTATTTATTTTTCACCCCTAAGAAGTAATTTATTGATAAAATAGAGAGTACATGGCCAAAAATCGAAGCCACAGCAAACCCATCACCGAGTATGAAGCTATAAACGGACAAAATACTTGCATAGTACAGACTACAGACTCTAGAGTGACTGGTAGAGAGGGTCAGGGAATGGCGAAATGGAGAATTCGGAATTGGCGATCCTTATCGCTTCATAAAAGTTGTTATTGATGCCCAAAACACGGCCCACCAATAGAAATCAAATAAAAATTTGGGCGCAAAAAAGGCTGATTAGAGGCCCTCAGTTGATTGGTGTGTAGTCGAATTGCGGGACAAAAGGGGGGGGGCATACGGTTTCAGGTTAATATTTACGTTTTCAGAACTTGTTTGCAGATTTCTACAGTACGTAAACCGACCCGCGCTTACACATATACCAACCAATAGGATACATATATATGGCTCCACCAATACAAAACGTTCTTCGGAATATTTGTATAAGTGGCGGTTCACGGGCTAAACCAAGGCATACCCATCGGAACTTCCCCCCGTCATAGCCACTTATTAGGTCGCTGGGATATTTATTTGCAGCCCAAACAACAAACACACCCCAAGCCCATTGGCCCTCACACCCTCCCCCTCAGACGCCCGAAGTCCTGAACCACAGGTGGGTAGGGACTACAGACTACAGACTGTTCACTGTATTTGCTATTTTATTTATACAGTGCCTGTGGACTTTGTAAAAAGTTTTAGAGAGTGGTATAGGGAAGTTGTTGCGCGGATTTGGATAGGATTTGTACGGGTGAAGGCTACTTTCGTTGTGTTTGTTTACTAAGTAAATACTTGGTGGTCTCGGCAGGAACGAAAATACGCGAGGCTCCGCACTGTGCAATAGGGCGTGTACAAGCACTTTACCTTGCGTGTTACCAATATCTTGTCCTCATCTTCCTTGTGCTTGCTATGTACCAGACACGCTCATAGTCGAGACGCGCATTCTGTGTGCTCAATCTGTGTGCTCAATCTGTGTCACTAGTGTATGTGTGCTGCGCGGAATTCGGCGAGCGACGTGTTGACTTGCTAGTCAGCTACGGAATTGCGTCAGTGGCTTCCGCCCTAAGCTACAGTGGCTTATAATTGTAGAGCCCCTGAATACAATCATAGCATCAGCATACCAGCCACTAAACGAGACGTTACCTAAGAGTACCCAATACATAACTTGTGAACACTCACACTAACAACAATCGAGACGATGGCAGAGTTTGACACTACAAGTGTGTCTACTGCCATATCCGTCGCTGAGTCTGTGGAGAAGACCAAGAAACAGGTCAAAAAGAAGAGTACGAAGCGCCTCAAACAATGGACTAAGGAGGAGGCAAGTGAGGGTGTGCGATGGGCAGACGTGTGGGTTCCGACTGGGCTTGCTGTGTATTGTGGTGTCGTTGTGAGTGTTTGTAGTGTATCATAACGTCCTGTGAGCTCTACTTGTTCTTTGTCACTTCTTCTGCACCATACCAAACAGACGAAAGTACACCATATCTCTATGCCTGATGCCTTCGTCTTATACTTTTAAACGAACGGACTACTAGCCTATTGCGTATGGCTGTACACAGGCAAATACTTCCGATTATGATCATTCACATTATCGCTATCACAAGCCGTACTTTGACGTGCATGTTATGTGTCTCGGTTCCTATGGCCGAGTTTTGGGGGGTCGGCCTGATGGCGACGCCTAACACTTGCATGGTAGTACTGAAACGTGCCCCCTTCGGGTTATCTTTTACAATAGTCTCGTTTTACTGCTCAATGGCATCAACATCCAGAGATGCTATAAGATCATTCAAGCTTCAAGGCAGTTTCCCGTAAGTCGTGTCGTATTTCCGAGACGAACCATTCACCCCACGTCCTCTGGGTATGAAACACAACGAGTGCCATGCATGCCACAATGTACGAAATTAAAAGGCCTATGTATGCCAAGTACTAACAAACCATTCCATGTGCCATCCACAGGATAAGATCCTTCGGGAAGTGGTTGACCGGTACGGCGAGAAATTCGACATGGCCACACAATACCTCACGCACAGATCCGAAGGACAGATTGCGCAGAGGTGGCTTAAGGTGTTGTCGCCAGACATTGTCAAGGGGGCCTGGACACCCGAAGAGGATGCCAAGGTTATCGAGCTGATTAAAGAAAACGGGACAAAAGACTGGTCGCTTATATCGGGCTTCCTACCAGGGCGGGTCGGCAAGCAGGTGTGATGTTCACGCGTCAGTATATATATAAATATATATGCGTGTGTATATGTGTGTATGTTTTATAGTTATATATATATATATATATATATATATAACTATATGTATATATGAATATATGTATATAAATAAATATTTAATTATATATATGTATATATATATATATATATATTAACGTATTTGCAACGCCTCCTGCAATGATCAAATTGCTATGTATATCCTATGTTCGGAATTCTGGTTCTTTGTCAGAGTGATATGTTTTGCAACCATCGCTGTACTAGGTCGTGATCCGCTGAAAGGTTAGTTTAATGGCAGTCGGGTGTGATATTACAGGTGCTGGGCTCACCAAGCAATTCAGCCAACCGCTCATCACATATACCTGCTTCTTCAGTACTATTACAGCCCTGCCTATATTCTCTCATTGACTAAATAAGGATTACATTGTCCTTCCCAGTGTCGCGAGAGATGGCATAATCATCTGAATCCTGAGGTCCGAAAAGGCCCTTGGACGAGCGAAGAGGAGGGCACCATCATCGAAGCCCAGGCCAGACTGGGCAACAAGTGGTCGCAGATCTCAGCGCTTATTCCGGGACGTACCGATAATGCAATCAAGAACTACTGGAACTCCACCATCAAGAAGAAGGTGCTCGGCATAGAGAGCGGACGCCCTGGCCGTCGCAAACACTCCGCGGGCGACTCCAAACGAGAGGACCAGGTAATTTAAAACAAAACCCTAAAACCTCACCAGGCACAAACCACTCTCCAATTCCAATCACTTTTTGTTCGTAAATTCCTTGCTGAATAAGCAGATCACTTCCTGATTTCAATCTCATTCTATATGCAAGGTACTTTCCAAAAAAGAAATCACTGTCTATTTCATACACTTTCTATTTCAATCACTTCCTATTTTTACCAAAACAATTGCTTGCCACATACAATTCACTTATATCTTCGCAGCAATTACCTCGTTCGTTTTCGTATGTGGTGGTGCAGGTGCAGTGGTTGTGCCGAGAATGTGACATGACGTGCGCAAGTCCATATGCGGTCTATTAAACCAGCGGTATTCTCATCGGAGTACTGCATTGATGCTAACGCCAATTGCTTGCCTGAGACCTGCATGATCATCGCCTTTTCTTATATGTGCCTGTCGTTCATCTGTCCATAAACCTGAGTTCCGACCATACAACCGGCTAGTTATGGCACGTAGCTACAAACACTCCTTCTGCCCCCATAAGCTTTAAAGTATCACACATAGCTACAACCCTACGCAGCACCACACATAGTACTTATGCTGGTGCCTTATACCTTCCCTCAGGAGAACATGCCAGACAGACCCACCCCAGAGAAGACCAAAGTGTCTGTCAAGTCGGCGCTGGGCGTCAGCGACCGCACAACGCGTGGGCCCATGCTGGAGATCGATCGCCAACTACACGGTGTGCTGAACCGCAAGAACGGCGTCAAAGTGGTCAACGCCAGTCCCACGTCCTCCGCCTCGCCGCCGGCCGAGATGGACGGACTGGACCTCAAGAAGGAGAGCGGAACAGCGTACTTCAACGGAGGCATTACCTACACCAAGAAGTCCAAGAAGCGCAAGACGGGCATCCCATTCACACAGGTAGACCCACCAGAGCAATGGCCCACATGCGCCGCTGTGTATCAGTCTATAGCAACCTTAGCCGTCCACGTGGATGTGCACGTGTATGTCTTCGGTATATTTTTTTTTGTTCTTGTTGAAACAACAGTTCCGCGACTGCGCAAACTCACACCATGTCTTTCTCCCCCCCGCAAATCGAGCGCAGAGCTCTCCGTTGCCAAAGTATCCGAAGGACGAGGTCAACGTAAACGACCCCTTTGGGGCCAACGGAAAGGCCGTATCTCTATTCGACTCTGCTCTGGACTATGGGACCACCGGTGATGTGGTGTGTACGCCTCAGGTGCACAATAGCGGTGTCCATGGCGCCCACTGCATGCCCCACCGTGTGTCTAAGAGGATGCGAGGCGGTCGTGGCGTGGACGAGCATGCTTCTGAGGTGGGTGTGGGGTGGGAGAAGACGGTGCAGCTACCTGCGGTCTATGTGCAATTGTGTGCCACACGACCAGGCACAGTGCAATATATCTGTGTGCAATCCGATGGTGTACCTGTGTACAAAGTCGAGGACGATTATACTGTCTGCTAACATACAATCTCACCTGTCTAATCACCATGTAAATTACACCTGTCTAATCACCATGTTAATACTCACCTATCTATCACCATGTATATTACACCTATCTATCACCATGTAAATTACACCTATTTATCACCATGTAAATTACACCTATTTTTCACCATGTAAATCTCACCCGTCTCCCAACATCTACCGTGTAGGATGAACATGAGGATGCTGACCTGTCGGGCTTCATGCCCCGTTTGAGCTCGTTTTTTGTCAACCCCCTGGACCTCCACGACAAAAACCCTGAGCCACAACACGCCGTCGGCCATCATGACTGGGATCTGGACTTAGAACTCGCAGGTGCGTGTCAGATGCGCCGCATTGTACTGCGGGCCTATTTGTTTCGCGGACTGTTGAATACATGGTGGCTCCGACAAAGACATGCACACCCTTCGGGATGGTTGTGTTTGCGTGTGATTGTCAGAACATACAGTACGTGTAGTGTACACACTTCTGGTTGGTTGTGTTTACGTGTGATTGTCAGACATACAGTACGTGTAGTGTATTTGTTGGCTGATGAAGCATTAATACACCGCCATTGCGCAAATGTCAATGGTGATTGGGGCGTACTTTAAAGCTGACCTCGCATTACCTCTACTATTTATTTATTTTTCGTCCGTAAATCGGAAGGCGAATGTCGGTTTAATAGCTGATGGAGATGTCCATGTTGCTTGCTCTGGTTGACGTCTTCATATCATCGGGTGTGTGTGTCTACCCATCGCTTATACTGACTGACCTACGTGCAACCTATCGTAACGCTGCAATATCAGATACCAGTGTGGCCGATGCACTGGATGCCGAGAACTCCAAGCGATTGCTCATGCACAGCCACGCCAATGCCGACCCACCCCACACCCTACGGCCCCCGTCCACACCCAACAAGCACTTGATGACCTCTGGCGCACCCATCAGTCCGTCGTGGAAGGACATGCCTGGCTTCACCACCAGCACGCACGAGTGCCCTACTAAGGTACGTTGCATGCTGGACTTAGTTCGCCCGTGCTGTAGAGTGGTTGAGACAACACTCACTATATGCGTGCTGGCATTAAGTGAGCTACGTGGCTTCGAATGCATACAACTCATGTAGGCCGACATACCCCTATCGTTATGACGTTAGATATACCCTCCGTGGGTTTAGGTTTAGGTAGGTCTAGGTCTAGGTTTAGGTTTAGGTTTAGGGCCATCGTTGTCCTGACCACCCTGAACCTTCCTGGCGCTGCGCTAACCCTGTTTTCTCCTTCCACCACAGGCCTTGGGCGATTTCTCGGCGCCGTTTTTCACCACCACGCTGCTGGACCAGTACGCAGAGGAGTCGCAAAATGGCCTCAACGCCGATCTCAACATGCTGTGCAAGCCCCTGTCTCAGAGTGGCATCGCCCCTTCATCCAGTATTCCGTTGCTCGGTGGTACGGCCTCCAGCTTGTCGGTTCATGACCTACCCACGCCCGCCTACTTTCTGGACAGCCAGCCGCTCAGCGTGGACCGGGTAGGTGCAAGTGTGTGTGTGCACGCGCTGCTTTTGTTGTGTTTTCTGATACCTGCGCACGCGCTGTTTGTACACACACTCACTATCCACGAGATATGTTCCAAACACTATCCAGCTGATGTGTCCCCAAGTGTCTGTGCACTCACTGGTGGTGCTCCTGTACAATTGGGAGTTTGGGAACTGCTTGGCCCCGTGGTTAACCGATCTTTAGTGCATTTCAGTGGTCGTGTATCAGGCGCTTGGCTGCCGAGTGTGGCACACAACAGACTGATTGGGTTGGATATGCGCAGAAGCGATGATCTACTAGGGTTTAGAGTTTAGGGAAGCGATGATATACTAGGCACACACGCGGGCACTCCTCTTGGCACGTTGCACGGGCGTATAGCCTAACAAACAAATTTTGTTGTAATTATATGCGTACGAGTTTGTAGAGGTCGCTTTGTCCATATACGTTAAGTCCGTATAGTTTGCACTTAGAGGCTGCAGCGTTTATTTGAGCAGCTTACGGGTTGTCGGTGCAGACACTCAGATATTCACATTGCACCACTCCACAGGTGAAGCCAAACGCACCGCCAAAGACCGAGGCACCATCACCACAACAGCAGAGTCTGAAAAGCAGTGACAGTCAAACGTACGCGTACACCATCACAGACCTGGACTCCATCCCCTCACTCACTGCCCCTGTAGAACCCACCACAGCCGAGCCCAATGAACAGCTCACACACTCGCCAGTACTGGCGCATGGGCTGATGGACGCCCACGACTTTGGCACAATGCACATGGACGACTACAGCCACGACCACCAGGCGTCACCACTGCAGCAGCCATCCACTACCACCAGCCTCAACGACTCACTGGCAGCACTCCACACCACCGACCACGCCGACCCACACACGCGCGCCAGCCACCACAGCCACCGCAGCACCCTGCTGGGAGAACACGAACACACGGGACAAGCACACCCCGACGAGGCCTACGGACAAACAGGCGACACCACACACCTACAGTACCAGCCACTGCAGACCACGGCCACTGAGGCCCAGCCACCCCACCTTATGCTGGGTGACAGCGCTCCCGGCTTAGTGTTAGCTGAGAGCTCGGCCAGTTTGCTACTGAGCGAAAGCGAACAATCGCCCAGTCTGTTGCTGGACGCAGACAATGCCGAGATGTACACAAACGAACATAGGAGCTTCAACGCACAAACAGCCACAAAGAAAGTGAGCCAGGAGGCTGCAGAGCACTTCAAGCTGTCGGCGGCGGAGAGCACCAACGCCCTCCTCCAGTCGCAGGAGAGCTTTGACAGTATACACTCACAGCTGCAGCTCAGCGAAGACCTGCGGGCACATGGCGGGGAGTGGGGCATGCGGGTAGAAGCACACCACGCCCAGCAGCCACAGGCAGCGGCTGACGACCCACCCAGCCTCAACACGTCAGCCTTCAGCGCAAGCACCTTCTACTCAAACCCCACCAGCGACGACAGTCGACACGCCACCACGTTCACCTCAGCGCGTCACACGCACGACACGGCGTGGGGGAGTGAGGCGCCCATGCACGCGACCAACAAGGACAACAAGGAGAACTGTCCTGCGGCTGTCAACCGCCCACACCATATGCGCGCACCCATGGCACCCCCCGCCAAGGGGGGGCCTTTGTCCTGCAAGAAACCGGCCAATGCACAGCCAACTATGGGCAGAAACTCGCCCAAGCCACCACCGCTATCAGTGTGCACCAACACGGCCCATGGGCCACCCAGGACGGTGTCACCCGCAAGCAAGTGCAAGTCATCGCCCACGCACAAGCAGCCTTTAACGCTCATGGGGTCACACGGAACAACCCAGCCGCAGGTATCAGCACACGCCACGTCACGGCCCAACACAACACAGCGACAGGTGCAGAAGATGGCGCATGCACACACCACCACCACCCCATGGCCAGAGGACAGCCCCATGGCCCACACATCCACTCACGGCGAACACTGCACACCCTTCAGAGCACGCCCACAGCAAGCCACGCTGCCCTCGTCACCATCGCACTTCTTGGTATGTCGCGTGATGATTATAGGGACATGTGCATATATAGCACATACACATGTGCATATATACCACATGCACATGCATCTCAAGCTGGACCGGTGGGTACTAGCTTGTAGTATATATCAGCTTGAGATACATCTCAGTGCTGATGTATCTACATGTGCTGATGTATCTACATGTGCTGATGTAGCTACATGTGCTGATGTATCTACATGTGCTGATGTATCTACATGTGCTGATGTATCTACATGTGAGATGTGTCTCAAGCTTGGAGATATATCATCCCATGCTGGTGCCACCTTGCGCTTGTACCGAATTAGGCCTAATTTTATCTGACGAAGGTGCCATATATCCTCTTTATTACTTGTGCACTTCTTGGCAGCCTAAATTCAAATCACTATATTTTCCCTATCCTCTGCTTCTTACAGCCAAAGCGTTCTCTCATTAATCTCCGGTGGCACAGCCGAATAAGTCTTCAAAATTGTATAACCTTACTATTATCTTCTCGGTTGAATGAGTATGGTCTTTCCAAAACACTTATTTACTTGACCACTCACTTTATGTTTTCCTTAAACCCTAAAACGTTATACTGCATTCATACAGACGCCATCGAAACCTATGCCAAAGCGGCCGACGTCAGAGCTGACCACACGATCCACTGCAGCCCACACATTTGTGTCGCCATCGCCCTGTGTCAGATCAGAGCCCAGCCCAAATATGCAGACGGAAAAGCCACCCGCACGACGTATCAAACAGGTAGGACTTTGCTTCACTGTTTATATACAGATGTGTATGTATATGTATATGTATATATATGTGTATATATATATATA